GGCGGGATTAAAGTGCCATGGCGCACTTTAAAATTGCATTCGCCGCCGTGGAATTACGCGAGATCTAATTACGCGCTCAGCTGGACGAGGCGTTTCGCACTCATAGAGCGAATTAAATGTTACCAAGGCAAACGTCACGAATGATATCGCATCCATCGCATATCGTGTTCCACAACTCGCGCGATTACTTTTTGCACACGCTAAATTAGAATTTCCTAGGCATATCGCATCTATCCGTACCATCGTTTATTACTTCCCGCCGTAAACCGGCTTCAACGATTCGTTTATACTCGAGAGAGACTCATAAATGGGACGCACATTGGTCGAAATCGATTTTACGAATCATAAAAGATCTCGATCGCAACGAGTCGAATCATCAATGCAGAAATGCATGATAGAAACTTTAGAGTGTCGGGCGAGCATACATATCCAATAAATAAAACATAAGATATCAATTCTTTTTAATGAGTTGTAAATACGTCAATAATAATACGATAATCGTCGTTAAAGTAAAGTGATATAATATTGAATTGACAACACGATGTTATTGTGTCAAGTGCATTATCTCGATACGAGTGTACATTGCACGCACCTTGGATTGTGCAAATTCTGAGGTCACGGGCGCTTATCTAAATGTATTCGCACTGCTTTGTTTATTGTTGATATTTCCCTCCCAAAACGCGAATACGAGGTCCATCACAACTAATCAGCGATAATCGAACGAGATAAATTATGACAGATATACAGTGTGGCACGACAGCACATGTGTAAAAGAGATAACAGAAGAACACATATATTATACATTCTTTTGAATTATTAATCATCAATGGGCCGAGCCTCACAAGAACGGATTTGCGTTTTATCTTTATTTAATTTTCTTCTTTTTATCTTTATCTACGCGCCCTATGAAACACCACGGAATTTAACTTTGAAAAATATCGCATACAAAAATGTTTGGGAAATCTATAATATACGTAACATAAAATAATATTTTCGTAACATTTTTCTAGAATACCGCTCTGATTATCTTCGTTATTTCGATTTAATTTATGCGGCCGTATTTGCTCAAAATTTAATAATAATTAGAAAATTAAATAAAAAATTAAATTTCACAAATTTCACTTTGGGGACAAATTATATAATTAAAAAAAAATATATATATTAACGAATATTATGTAACGACAAGGAATCCTAAACGCATTTGTCACGAATTCGAAAATTGGACTGATTATAAGAGTGATACTAATATAAATCTGATTCTTGCGGTGTTACTTTTCTCAAATGTAACTCCGACCGATATGACATACTCTGAAAGTATCGCATCGCGTTACAAGCTCATCTATCGATTTTCGCAAAATACTCCGCCCGCGTTTGCATTATAGATGCAGCCGCTTGTTGCATCGCACAACAATACTTGCGGGACAAAGTTCACTGCTATTCGCGCATTTACTTTACGCTATTCGCTGCTATTACTTATAAAGTATTTTTATTATTGATTCTCTAACTGTAAGACAAAAGATGCCTTAAGTTTTCGGAAGCAGCAATGGTATAATATCGCATAATTGCACAAAGCTCTTTTTAAAGTTTCTGTAGACAATTTTGGATAAAAATATGAAGGAAGAATTTTGTTAAAAAGTTGTAAAAGATTCTCGTTAATGAGAAAAACAGTTCATTTCTGATATTCCGTTGCAATTTAATTTAGGAATAAAAGGAGAAAAAAAATCATTCTATAACATACATCACGCAAGCTTAACAATTCGTAGTATTTTATCATCTTTGAGTCACTACAGGCATATTGAATCGTGACAGTCAATTAAGTGCTTTCATTCAATGCGCATGCGTAGCTTATTTTCACTTACACGTGCCTATTATCACATTTTACGATTATTTACTGTCTCTCAAAGGGAATAAGCATAGTTTTCGCCCATCTTTACAAATGTTTTAAAGCAATCTTATCATTCTGTTTCATTCAAATCGTCTTTATTTATAGATGGCATGTAATAAAAATTAACATGTCATTTCTCGCTTCTGACGTCACGATTCAATATGGCTGTGGTGACTCCAGGAGCCTTAATAACAGTTTGACATCACACAATCCAAGAACATCACTTGGAAGAAAATCGCCGATTTACGAAAGCGTAACGCGTTCGTGCCTGTAACACACGATGTCAACGACTAACATGCAACAGTATGACATTCCTCGACGTTCTGGTGATAGCAACGATTCTGGCAACGTCGACAATAGCCAATGCTCAGTTCATTCCAATGAATCCAATGTCGGTCGTAATTCTCGCGATTCTCTCTGTTGAAGGTACACGCGGCGAATAAAGGAGCGCACGCTGAGCAAGTGGCAAGCGGTTTCGCAATCGCGAAATCAAGGCGCGTCAACGGTATGCGAAGGATAACCCCGAGATAACCCTGCAAGCAGTCATTCGTGAATTCTTCGTACCGTTATCCCCAGCGACGAAAGTCAGAGTGAAAGAAATCGCAAAATTGTCACGTACGAAAATTCCTTTTCTCTTCTCTTTTCAGAAAATTTACAACGGCCGCTAAGGAATCTTAACGGGAACGATAAGGAGATATATCATTCATACAGCATAATGTTTTTTACAAGCGAACCGTACAACATATTCTAGCGACGAGTAATTATGGCGATATCAGTAATTATCGCGTGACGCTTGTAATTTTAGTGGAAAAATGGCTTACTGAAATCAAAGGGCTCTCAGAGTAACGGCGTGATAGGTGACACGACGAAATAGTACACAATACGACACAAAAAAACTGAAACAGTAAGCGAATTCCCCCCGGTAAAGAATTTCTCACGCATGAATATGTATAAATATGTATAAACATACGTAAACGCGCATAAATATTCATAAACATATATAATTATATTGTACATGAAATATATCCATACATGTTCATACATCCTTTTTTCTTTTGTAAAATTACTTTTTAGTGTAATAGAAATAATAATAGTAATGTAAAAACATTAAAAATAATTAAAAAGGTAATTTTCTCAAGTATTTGTTTTAGAAAAAATTACGTTTGAAGAAATGTAAAAAAATTACTTATACGTATAATTATATATAAAATTATGCATAATTATTGTGTGAGCTATTTTTTTACATTTTTCCTTTTAATTATCTCTTTAATTATTTTTTATGTTTTCACATTACTCTATTATTATTTCTATTACACTAAAAAGTAATTTTGCAAAAGAAAGAAGGATGAACATGTACGGACATATTTGTGTATATAATTATACACATTTATGAATATTTATGGGTGTTTATGTATGTTTATACATATTTATACATATTCATACATGAAAAATTTTTTACCGTGTCAATATTTTGGATTATGTGCTTATTGTATTATTGCCTTATGTCTCTATTAAGTCCTACTTACAATGAAAGTAATATTGGGAGCTTTCCAGCAGAGGTACAAATAAACACAAAAGTAATTCTGTCTTTATTTCTTAGTGATTATCAAAAACTTGTGTCAATTTGTATCTTTTGCTAAAAAGCTCCCGTTGCAGATAATAAGCAGCAAGAAAATGTAAGAAACTGACCAATCATAAATCGATTGTTTCCCTTACATTCAACTATGATTAATCAATTTCTTATGGCTCACAATTTACTACTACTTACACAACTTATTACTTTCACTGTAGACAGTCCTTTATAGACTTTCTACAATAAGTCATAACCTAAGCCTTAAGTCTTAAGCTATAAGAAATTGACCAATCATAATCGATTATTCTTCTCACATTCGACTGCGATTGGTTGATGTCTTATAATTTAAGATTTAAAACTTAGCTTATTGCAGAAAGCCCATTAATCCGGATCTACAATCGATGTTTTAAGTCTTAAGCCTTAAGAAACTGACCAATTACAACCGAATGCGAGAAGAATAATTAAAATCGATTGTGATTCGTCCATTTCTTATGGCTTAAGGCTTAAAAATCTATCGTAAATCCGGGCTTGCGATAGATCGAATCGCTCGACTGCATACTTGCTCTTACTTCATGTGTCATAGCCTTAAGACTCGGCGCAGCTCTCGCATTTATTCCTCCATTTATTTCGCATTACGCTAATTACGGAATTTTCTAATTATTCCGTACTCGCGACATCAGTTCTCGTTCTCTACGAACGCAACAATCGCTCGGTGTCTTTGGCCGTGAGCGCGAACGCGAGCGAGAGAGCGCGACCTTATTCCGACGACAAGCGCACCCGTTCCCGTTGCATCGGCGCGGTGCAACGCGAGGTTCAACGCCGAGTGCCGTCAGATGCAACGCCAGGACGACCTCAACAAATGTTGCGGGGATCAGTGTAGGGAGCGAACGTCAAAAAAAGGTTCAGACTCGAATACCAGACGTGAGATTTTCACGACCGGATTTTTTCTCTCCCTTTCTTTCTTTCATTGTTCCTTTCTATTTCTCTCTCTCTCTCTCTCTCTCTCTCTCTCTCTCTCTCTCTCTCTTTCTCCCCCTCCTCTCTCTTTCTCTCTCTTTCTTCGACCGCCTGCTGTTTCTCCTTTCTCACTCTTTATCTACCCAAATACCTGCGTCGCCTGTGATAATTCTTTATTATCTGATATCTTTTTTCCCTTTACGATAAACGTTGCTTTACGGTGTTCAATTTTAGGCGGTCGTCTCGAAAAAAAAAAAAACGAAAAAAGATGTAAAGTGTTTTAAATGTTAGCTGTTCTCTCTTATTCGCTCCATCGCACCGTTTCTCTTCCTTCAGCAAGCGCGACGGCGCCGCTGCTCACGCCGTCTCGCTCGAGCCTTCCCCGCTCGCTTCGAAAAGAATCCACCGTGATACGCAACAGGTTATCGAAAGGTATCCGAGTGCGCGCTCGGCGCGGCGCATATATATATATATATATATATATATATATATGTATATATATATATACGCAAATATGTAAATGACATTTGTATACACGCGCGCGCGCATACACACATACAGGCACACACGACGATAGACACTCACCGTGCTCGGCGACCGCCAAGGATCCGGCCAGGAGAGCGCACAGGACAAGTAATAGCAGGGAGATCCACGTCGACCTTCGACGTCCGTTTGCACCATCAAAGTAGCACCATCGTTCCTCCTTACGCGCCATAATTGCGTCAACTTTGACACGACGAAGGTTTCTAATCCGTCCCGTCTTTCCGCTTTACGGAGGGCTTCGCTCGAAAGTTACCAACGAGCGAGCGTCGTGAGTTCCCTCGATAGACACTCGCAGTACGAAGCGGAGCGCGACGGAAAAACGGTGAACGCGCGCGCGCGCGCGTACACACTTACGGCGGCGGCGGCGGCGGCGGCGGCGGCAGCGACGACGGAAGAACGTGGAAGGACGGAGAGACGCACAAAGGTGTGGGTGGCGAAGGGAGAACCGGATGGAGAGGAAAGTCAGGGAATCAAACGGGCTGACTCGGAACTCGCGGAAAGGAGAGAAAGAGAGCGAGAGAAGACAACGGGAGGGAAAAGGGAGAGGAGTTGAACGCGCCGCCACGTGAACGAGTTCTCGTCTCGCGGGAAGAAGAGGATGTTCCGATGAAAACGGAATCGGTAGAGCGCACCGCCGAGGAAAAAGCGCGTCTCCTTCGACCGATCCGTGTAAATTTTGCCTGTCAAACGAACACGGGGCGAGAGCCAAAAGCAACTTGTTAAAAGTTTACAGGTTACGCGACACACTGACGACGACCGAGCGAGATTCTCTACTCGAACGATTCGCGTAAAAGCTGGTTCCTGAAACGCGACTCGCTCTTCAAACCGGTACCATCCGACGGCGGACCACGGCGGCGGCGGCGACGACGACGACGACGACGACGACGACGGCGGCGGCGGCGGCGGCGGCAGCAGCGACGACACTCACTTACGACGCGAACGGCATGCTCGCTCTCACTAGTCACTCGCTGCGCTCGCCAGTCTCTTTCGCCTACTCCGAAGCGACCTCGAGAGTATCTAGATAATCATCTAGATAGACGCTCTTACATGCCAGATAACGCGCCGGAACGCTAGCGCGAAATTCGCACGATCGACTCGTTTCGATTAGCGCCGTTCGTTAATAATCGTGATACCTATGGAAGACTGTTTTTAGAAATAAAACAACGAAGAAATTAAATTAATTGAAAATTAATCGAAGTGACAAAGCCATAACAGAAAAAAAAAATCAAACAGTTGTTGATGTTAATAATGAGTTAAATATTTAATGAGATAAGATAATTTTTTTTTTCTATTATACCCCTCTCGATATGTCATATTTATAGACGTACGTGCAGATTTGAATCAATTAGTGTCAAATAAAAAATGACATTTCCTCGCGTAACGCGCCATGAAATTTTCTAGTCGACAAGGAAGACAACTGCTGTATCGAAGCAAGATAATATCAGCTCATCGTAAGAAGAAGATATTTTATTGCAATTGAGTTTTTCATATGTTAACTTGATATATTTATTAAATCGTTATCTGATGAAGTTAGCAACGCACAGATTACCGATTGAAACTTTCGATCATGTAATTGTCTGTGAACCAGCGTTTATAGAAGAAGGAACTCTTGCGAAACTTCGAGCGAAGATAGAACTTCTTTGCTAGGTGAATCGGGGAGTGATGCTGATGATATTAAAGATATCTTCGAAAAATCGCTGCGAAAATCTTTTAAATACGGAATGTCGATCAAGTGATGTTGTCCAAAAATTGCCTAAAAAAATTATAAATTCTTTAAAAAATTTAGAAACTTATAAAATTAAAATATGAAAGAGTCTCTACAGCCTTCGAATAAAAAACATAAAGAGATTCCTAAGATAGCTAAAAAAAGTACTAAAAAATATTTTCGGAGTCGGCGCGGTAAGAAACATGTAGTTAATTAAAAAATATAGTATTCAGCGGGTTAAATTCAACTAATAACATGACTTACAATATTAAATACATGATCTCTCATACTTTGTCTTTTTCATTGATGACGGCTCAAAATGGAGCCGAAACGTTCGAGTTAAAAATAATAAAATTTAAATGCCAATTAAAATTCAAACGAAACTCCAAGTTAGAAGTTCTCTCTCTCTCTCTCTCTCTCTCTCTCTCTCTCTCTCTCTCTCTCTTATTCTTTAAATCCCCTAATTTTACCGTGACGTTCGTCTTATCCGAAAACGTTCGATGGCATTGCTTGACGTCAGCATCGCGTGGGAATGACAGGGTCGCTCGCACTTGTTGCCTCTGTCGATCTTTCTTCCGTAACATGTACGATCTGTCAGTCGTACGACGCATGCGATCTACATCATCCAACGCTTCCAGAGTCGACGCCAACTTAGAATCGCGTATCCTCTTGAGCTTGTCTTTCTCTAAGCTCTCGTCTGCTTTCTTGGCCATTGCGATCAACTTTCTCTGATGGTCCTCGATTGCAATTCTCCACGAATGGTGCCAGTGCACCATGTGAACGATCAGATGCTTGTCCACGCTCAATGGATTGACGCCGGTCTGCTCCAAATTTCTGCTAAGCTCCGTCCACATCTGACCAAGCTTCAGTTTTAGATACATCTCGGCGTAACATAGTGTTACCTAAAAAAATCCAAACACACTGATTCATTCTGATATTATGTAAAAAATTTAATGTTACTATGTTTGAGCAGGTGGTCTGATCAAGGATAATGTATCTTACGCAATCTTTCGTTGGCAATTCCTCAAGTAGAATCTTATAATGCTGTCTAGCCATTTCGTATTTAACGCCGTCTCTCTCAATTATTTTCAAAATACTAAAGATTTTTGATCGCACCGAATCAATCATGTCAGTTATAGTGGGACTAACGTCTTCCGTAAGCAGGAAACGATAGGTGTCTATCCACTGCTCGGTGCCCATCTGAAGGTCTTCAGGATCTAAAATTATAAACAAATTCAATTACGTATAATTCAAAAAAATTTGCTCAACTTTTCGTTCAAATTTATTCCGTAATTTATATAATTATAAATAATTCAAAAACGTTTAGATAGATATTTCTTAAATAAAGAAAGCTTCTCTGCTTTCCTAGTTATCGAAAATATTTTTACGTTTCCGAAAATAATTTTAAGCGATTTTTAAGAATTTAAGAAATGTTAAATTAAAGTAGATTTTCTGTGAAAAAGTGTCTTCGTGTATGAAACTCGACGTTTTGATTCGCGAGATTGTACCTATGGAACCGTCGGCATGTCTTTTCATGCCGATCCTGTCTTCCTCTTCTCGCCAAATATTCATGAATAAAGATATCAGACCCGTCTTCTTATCAGCGCCTCTCCAGGTGCAGAGACATGGTCCGCAAAAAGTGGTATCGCATATATCAGTCAGTGCACCGAGATACAAACATCTTACAGGGTAGCTCGCGATCTCAATGGTGTCCAACATAGAGTACAATCCACCGCCGTTCAAGAAAATTTGAAGATTCTCAGGACTTCGCACTATGCATTTCCAAACGAAAGAGCCTATTGCTAGCAACAGTCTGTCGAAAAATGATAAAATGTCTATTTATAACATACTTGCTTCTATTTTTCATTTCAATATGTAAATTCTTTCTAAATTCAGTACGTTTCTTAAATTTTAGAATAGCCTTAATATTTATAATTATTGACGGATCATTAGTTAATACAATTTATCAATTGACATAACAAATTAATTAAATAATTAATATAGAAAATTATAATAAAAGCCGACAAAGCAATATTTGTGTGAATTGTATTTGTTTAGCAGCAACGTTACCGCTGATCTACTTGAAAATCCTCGTTTCTTTGATGTAGACATTTTGCGAATATTTCTAAAATAAGCTCGACGCTTCGTCGTTCGCACATCTGTTGAACAGACATTTGTTTTTTCATAAGCCCTTCTAGGGAGATCAGTAGCAATGTCAGAATTCGTTGCCCTTTCATCGTAAACTTAGCTAAACTCATGATATTGCTAAATAATTCTGAAATTAGAAAGTAATATTTTTTTATTAAGAATTCAAAGATCATTGTAAAAAGATTACATCAATTTTTACTTGTCTATGAAAATAACTTATAATATCTCTTACTAATTAATAACGGTATCATTCCGTGTTTTTGGAAATCCTCGAGAAGAAGAGCAGAGTCCTGCAGAATTATCGAGCAAACGGATCTCGTAAAAATCATCGTAAGATACTCGTCGAATTCAACGTTCAAAATTTGCTTGAGCATTATCAGTAATCTAGGAGCATTAAAAGTTATTTCATTTGACTCCGCATTAAAATCCGATTAATTTTTTTTATGTTTTTTTTTCTTTTACATAAGAGTGCCTTTGCGCTTCACAAATTTCGTTTCTATTCGTGGAGCTAACAGTGATAAGATATGCATTGCACGCTCCAAAAGAATTAGCGACGCAAAAGATCCTTTATCTTTTTCATTCATGCAGAATTTAATGATTCGAAGAATAATTGACATAATCATCGCTTTGTCCATCACCTAAAAAATTAAAAGGTTACCTGTCAATATATGTTTCTTAAAATTTAAAAATAACACATGTTTTTGTTAAAATAAATGTATGTTGAGATTGAATCTTTAATCCTAGAAAAGTCATATTTAAAAGATAACAAGTTTAAACATCCCCTATTTTTTCTGAATTAAAAAAAAATTTGTTTTGTTTAAAATTTTTTAAGTAAAATTGATGCGAAATAATTTACGAAGACGTAAACTTCGATATCTGCGAGGTAAGCGATGATCATCAGTAGGATCTTTTTGAAGAAGAAGTCCTCTTTGCTGTTGGAGAACTTAACACTTTCTGCCCATATTGTAGTAGTGCCAGATTCAATTGAAGGTAAAAGATGGACGATGTCTTCCGCGATACCGCTACTGACAAGATTCCACGATGGTAAAGCCACGATTCCAGCGAGGATCAATGCGGCGATGTCGTTTCTGATCCTCAAACTGACGGCGCAGTATTGACCGCGAAGTATCTGCCGCTTGAAGGAATACCTCAAGCCCCTGTGCTGCGTCAGAAATCGTATACTTTATGCTTGATAGCTCATCTCTATTAAAGAGAAAGCTACATAATAAATACATAAATAAAATCGGAGTAAAAGAATATCTTATGAATTAAAAAAAAGAGAGAGAGAGAGAGAATAATGTGCCTGTATGACAAAACTAAATAAAAATTTATTCTATGATTATTTTTCCATCGCATTGTCTTTAAATGTTTAATTGCTAAGTGATTAAAGCGTGCTATCAAATGATACCACATGGCGCATTGCTTGAGCGATGGGAGGTCCTTCAGATGTTCTGGTAGCGTTTTCGAAGATAACACCGATCTCATGAGGCTCCACAAGAGTTTCATTTTTAAAAGCATGATGTCCCTCGGATATTCCTCTCCCATAAGGGGTATGTCCAATGGTGCGGCGCAGGACAGTTCCGTCGCGCAAGGAAGATCCATCCTGGTTAACAACGTGTTCAGTATCCCGGCCTGCAGCATTCTGTGACCTTTATTCATAAATATAAAGTTGTAGTCTACGCACGTAAAACGAGAGACGCCAGAGATATTCTTTGTAAATCATCTTTGCTGTAATGTCCCGACATGGGTGTTATTCCTTGAAATAATATTTGAATGAAATGTCAGCTTAATATATAAGCATTCGATATGATGTTCTACTAAATTTCTTTTGAAACTTCTCGCCTTTAAGAAGCTCGGAATATATAGTTTTTTTAATATTCTTTCTGCTCAAAATGTTTGAAGAACATTTAAGAAAAATTTAAATTTAAATTGAATTGAATTGAGAGAGGAGCAATGTTTTTCTAATAATTTAAACAATATATAAAATATCTCGATTCGCGATTACTCACAACATTGATTTGAGATCGAGGCGACCGTATAAGCCAGTTCCAAGATCTTCGGATATATCTTTGGCATAGCAGCCTCCAGCAGTTCGATGATGATAATCGGCAATCTAGAATTCTCCATGGCTCGACGACAAAAATCTAATTTCACTGCCGCAATGTTTATCGGTTTCGTCTGCCTAATTAATAAACAGTCAAGAGCCTCGTGGATTCGTTGAACATCTTCTTCATTGGGCAAAATTATTAGAAGGTAACCGAGAAATGTAAAATAGTGCTCTATTATGACAGAACTGGTGAGACTCTCGGAAGCTTG